AATTTCAATATATCTCCTGTCATTTAATAATATTGCTTTATTTTGATAGCTTTTGTTTTATGGTGTAAGTGTTTGATGGTAGTCATGTATACTTATATACATTAATACAGCTATTTTATAAAAGGTTGAATACTGAATAATGTATACTGAATAGTGCATTCCAAGACTGAAGTGCATCGTGGGTCATAGTGACATTGTCTAAAGTAGGATTAATAATAATTATTTATTCATTTTTAGCGTTTCATCTGAAACAACATACTAACTACATGTAGAGAGTTAATTGCTGTATATTTACTTTTTATTTCCAATTAACGAGACCCACAATGCCCTTCGCTTTTGGAATGCACTGTTCAGTATGCAGTATTCAACCTTTTTTGAAATAGCTGCATACATATCTCTCTCTCTCTAGTAATGAATGAGCTTTGCATTGTAAACTCTTTTAAACCTGCACCCATGCTACCACCCTTAAATTATGGCCAGTATCTAGTGCTGAAAAAGTGTTTGACAATTATATTGCCAATATTATATGGAATGAAATATATATTAAATTTTTCTTTTGATCCACAGACAATTGCACAAACACGGCGACAGGTAATTTTGTTGCTTTGTTTTGTTTTATATGACATCATCAATTTAATAATTTCATTTCTTCAGAGTTATTCTGCTCAAAGAATTGGAAATAAATCAACTCAGCATATCGTTTCAAGATAATATTATTTGTTTATTTTGCAATAATGTAAATCGAGGTGAAAATTAATTATAACCCTCATTTGGTCAAATGTGAATTGGCCACTTTAGAAATTAGTGATAGACTGGGAATAAGTAGTTATAAGCTAAGCTGAGAATATTTAAAGCTGCTATCCTGCCCTACTTAAGCTACTGTGGTCTAACATGGCACTGCTGCAGAAAGACGGACAGTAATAAACTAGTCAGAATGAGTAAATGAGAGGGGGTTGAGAGCAGTATATAATGACTGGAGTTCACCGTATCGCGAACTGCTTATCAGAGCTAAAATGACCACACTATATAATAAAGTAAAACAAGGGCTTCTGCCAGAAAACATCTCTGAACTCTTCACAACAGGGAATACGAAACACTATAATCTGCGAAACTCTAACTTCTCACTACCAAGAACAAACACTACTTACTACGGAAAGCACTCATTATATATGGGCAAAACTTCCATTAGTTATAAGACAATGTACTACCATTAACTCATTCAAAAATGCTATACGTAAAATAGATGTAAGTAGTCTACTGGACAAGACCTACCCAAGTGTGGCTGCTTTCTGTGTAGTACATAATTACTCATTTGTTATCTTTACTTTAAATTTTAATTAACTATTTATTACTATTCCATTTTGGAATATAATTCTAAAATCATTATACGATCACTTTTATTAGCGTATTAACGTATACTTTTATTAATAATGCATAGCATTTTATCGTTTTCTACAGATTTGATAACTATTGTCTCTAT